CCCGGCCCGGCCCGGCCCCTGCGGCCACTGGTCGCATGCAGGGGGCAGGGGGGCCCCGCGGATGCGCCACCCCAGCTCGGAAGCGCCGGCAAGGCGCAGCGCTTGCCCGTGCCCTGCTCTGCAGGCCGGCACGAGGGCGGCGCACCCGGACGCGTGACTGCCGCCCGCCAGAAGTAGTAGGGGCAGCTCGGTGGGGAAAGTGTTGGCTTTCCCCAGAGCCAGGGCAGCCAGCGGGCCGGGCTTGGTGCTGAGCGGAAGGGCAGCCCGCACCCGCTTAGACCAGTGGTTCTCATCCTTTTGCAGGCCACGGCGGCCCCATCTCTGCTGCGTGCCACCGTGGGTGCTGCCCCCGCTTCCCTTGGTGCTGCTCAGCCAGGAGCCACTGCCTCTTGGGCCTGCTGCACAGCCAGCCCAGGACAGTCCCCCGTGTCGAGACTCCAGTCAGCCTAAAGCAGGCAGGAGCTGCCCCGTGCTGTGCAACCCTACGCAGTCCAGCGCGCCCTGTGCTCCATCTGCACCCATTTCCAGGAGGAGAAGGGCGATGCTGGACCATGAAGCATTGCATAACAGGGGTCTGCTTTAGGCTTACAAGAGTGCTAATGCAGGAGGAGGCATGGGGTAGTTTTACCTGGTTGCTGCAGCTATGACACCCCTGAGACGGCCTCACTGGCACCCCGGGGTGCTGCAGCACCCTGGCTGAGAACCGCTGCACTAGACAGACATGATCCTTCAAGAGCTAAGGGCTGGACTAAATGACATCCTTCTAGCCTCTTTTGCCTAGGATTGGACAAGTAGCATTGTTGACATGAGTATAACTCATGCAAGTCCTATAAAAACACACTCGAACCATCATCTGCCTTTTAATCTTTCTATTCTAGGCATTTAAAAATTATTAGAATAGGACTGATGCTAGCAATCTTTCCCTGAACAATTATATGTATACTAAAGTAATAATAAAGGACCACAGGGGGGTTGCCATTGACTTTAGTAGAGCTATGATTTTTATCACGGTCCTGTAACTCTTCTCTCATCTTGCACACAACTCGTGGGAAATGCCTTTGCTGGAATCAAAGGACCCAACTGCACTGACTTCACTACAGTGCCAAGCTTTAATGCTAGCCTTATGCCCAGCTTTAAACACAGCCTTACATATTTTTGGCATGTATGCAAAACATTTGTCTTTTGTTCCAGATTTATGTATACAGGGCCAATTTTTTTCTTTCACCAAAGATAATGGGACCCTTCAAGAAAGCGGAACAGATACGGCCCATGATTTATAAATATAAATATATTGCAAAGTAGTAAGCAAGGTTGTAAACACCAACATTTTTTTAAGGTGGGTAACGTGGCACTACTGTAATTGGTTTAATTCCAAACACTTGCCTAGACTAAATTCCAAATAAATTGTAAGTGATTTATAACCTGGATTTTTAACCCTATTCCACAATGTTTGCGCGCAAAAATTTTGTATTTTTTACCCAGTAGTTTGAAAGACAGGATCCAATTAACAATATAGAGCCCCATTATTACTGCACAGTCCTTACTCATGCTCCTAACAGTTTACTTTTGTGTAGTTCATAGTTAGCAGTCAGGAAAGGGTCTTGGTTTGATGTTCAAAAACCAGAGGCAGGCAGAGTCTGGCATTATTCATGATGATATACTATCCCACTCTTTATTTTTAACCTAAACCCAGGCTTAATTTTAATCTCCTGTGGGCCCTTTTAGAGAAGATCAATGGCATGTAAAATCTGGAAGTGATAAATAACTATAAACAACAGATATGGTAACTCTGTTGCAGTAAAGATGTACAGATGTAACATAACTTTTCAGTTGCTCCCCTGCAGGCTGTTAACTGGAAGAGAGAAGCTGGACAGCTATTTCATGGTTACGATTAATGGTGATCCAGAATTATTTGTACTTCAAAGATGAAGCATTTATTTTGCTGTCAAGTCTAAATCTCTTTTAATTGGATGCAAATCCATGCTGATGAAAATGAAGTTTAATTTATGCATGGACATGCAGTGTGCATTTGTACAGATGCATATACTGTTCAGAACCTACCCTGCTTATCTCATAGGCGTTGTTTCACTGATGTCAACACAGTTACTCAGATGAGTACAGAAATTTAACATTTGCTTATAAAACCCATTCCTTTATAGACATGTGAATCTCAGTGACATCAATGGGAAGTTCATTTATATGGATATATAAAACACAGCAAGAGAGGCATGTGAGATATTTTACATTGGGCTTAATCTTGAAACCTTCACTCATTTTGTTGCTATCAAGCAGGATTAGCTGAAACAAGGATTTTCTGATGAAATGAATTCTATGTAAATTGCTGTTTACCTTTTATTGCTGTGAATAATCACATTCAGGTCAATGGAACTGCCCATATAGAATCAAAGGAAAGTAGAGCTGGAAGGGATCTTGGGGGGTCATGTAGACAACCCTTTGCTCAAGGCAGGATCATCCCTGTCTAAGCCATCCTAGACATTGTTTTTGTAGCACTACAGGGGATTTCAGTCCCCTTGGCATCCCATACTAATCAATTCCCTCCACACCTCCAAGGTCATAGCACTGCTGCTGCCCCAGGGAATCAGTGCTCTTCTGTGGGACCCTGCTTCTTCCACCACATGTCTACATAGCCTAGCTTTCTCTTAAAAGCTTCCAAGAATAAAGATTCCTTAACCTCTCTGGGTAGCCAGTGCCAAAGCTTAGGCACCCTTTTAGTGAGAAAGTTCTTAATACCCCACCTAAATTTCCCTTGCTTCCATCTAAGACAGCTAGAACCATGTGGCCACAGCAAATAGTTTATTACCATTCACTTCATAACCACTTTTCAAGTATGTGAAGACTGTTATCAAATCCTTCCTTCTCTTCTCCAGATTAATAATCCTAGCCCTTCTGACTTTCTCTCATAAATTATCCTAGATCTGTAACCATTTCTATTGTTGGCTGCTGGAATTTTTCATCTTTCTTGATGTCCAGTGCACAAAACTGACACAGTTCTGCTTCTGGTATATTAAGCGGGGCTCGTGATATAATAGCAGAAGAATTGCCTCCCTTGACTTGCCAGTAATGCTCCTATTCATTCAGCCTCATATGCTATTCTGTTTCCGCCCCACAAGAAGCATACTTGTTGGCTTATATTCAGTTGATGGTCCACTATAACCTTCAGGTCCTTTTCTGCAGTACTAAAGACCAGCAAGTTATTTTTAAGTCTCTATTTGTCCATGTGATTGTTCTGTCCTAAGTACAGGACTTTGTACTCATCCTTACTGAATCTCATCTGATTAATTTTGGACCATTCCTCAAGTTTATTGAGGCCTGAAACGATTCTGAATTCTAAACCTACCCTCCAGGGTGTCTGCATCTCCACCCAGATTCACTTCATCTGCAAATTTACTAAGTGATATATTAAGCCATACTGAACACAGCCCTGGGGACCCACACTTGATACTTCCTCCCAACTGATGATTCCTTAAGAGGCTAACTCATGAGGAAAGGCATAAGCAACAACGTCCTTCGGCAGATGTTACGAATGGACTTCCAGAGAACAGGGGCTCATTTCAGCATTTTGCCTGACTCTGCCTTCCCTTTGCCTGATTTCAGACTAACACAGCTGATTACTTCTCTCTCAAATTCTCTGGGAAATCTCAAATTGCATTATTCCCATTTTACAGATG